TTCCCACTAGACCAGGAAGGTGCCCGCCTTTTGTGGCCCCTGGCAGGCTCCTGGGAGCGGCCCGCCTGCTCCTGGGGAGCGGTGGAGGTCTGGGTGCCAGGCTGCTGGCTCTGTAATGGCAGGCTTGCAGCTGGCACAGGCACTGTGGTCAGAGTCTACCCCTTTAAGGGCTCCGGGGCTGGGGCAGGAAGCAGAAGAGTTTTCCTGTGTGCCCAGAGTGGCCACCAGGGCACCCTGGAAGGGGCTGGAGGCCCCCTATTTTGAAATAAGCGTCTACACAGTGCTTATTTTGATTTAGCTATTTCGAATTTGGCATTATTCCTTGTGGAATGAGGTTTACCAAATTCGAAATAAGCATGCTGCTATTTCAAATTAATTTCGAAATACCAGTTTGGCTGTGTAGACTCTAGAAAAGTTAATTTGAAATAACGGCTGTTATTTCGAATTAACTTTGTGTAGACATACCCTAAGAGAATAGGTATTGAGAAATGTGGTCACCCTTCTTAGCATAGACAGAGGAAGAGTGCTCATAAGTCAGCAAGCCAGAATCTTTACCTTGGTTCTTTGGATATTAACCTGATCCTAAATTAGTAGTCATTAATGTAGAATGTAGTGTGTACACATTTTATTGTAACTTTATTTTTGTAGAAGGTTTTTTTAATTTTCTGCTTACGTAGATATCATCCTGTTATTTCTACCAACAGAGACAAAGCAAGTTTTCTGTAGCCTGTGACTACCAGATTGTCACAGACGCCTGTTAATGACTGTTGGTTTTCCTTTTAAAAAAATGTACACGGGAAGTGATTTATAAATGTTTCCCTGTCCTACCACTCCATAACTGACTGACTTTAAATGGAAAAGTGGTGATTAGAGCAATCAGTTTATCTTGGCTGTGAATTTTGTAGCACAAGCCATGGTTTTTTAGGGGTTTTCTTCTCATGGCTGTTCCCAGTTTAAGCTTTTATCATAGAAGTCTTTTTCATAACAAATTGTTTTCTTTAAGCAGGAAAAGCAGATAAGATAGGAAATATTTCCTAGACTGTAAGGAGGTTAGGCATATATCTGCATGGGAAGTTAGACTTCAATTTTGTTGCTTATATTTGACTCATACATTTTGGTTATATTTAAATAATTTAGTGTGGCCTTGGGTATTAAACAGCATCAAAGTGAAGTTGCTCTGTTGTCCTTTTAAATTAAAGCCTACTGCTAGTATATTGACCTATTTTTGCATAGTGGCCTCTTTTTTTGAGTGAACTTGAAACCTCTTAAAGTGCCCTGATTTTTCAGACAATATTATGCCTTTTTTGCAAATGTACGTTAGAGGTCCTTAGAGCTGAGTAGGTGCTAATTAAATTGATTAAAGGGGCAATGTTACTGTAAAAATTTGTATGTATGAGTGTGCTCTGTGCTCCAGAGAGCAATAAAGGTCATGTAACAAGTTGATGACAGGTGTGTGTGTGTGTGTGTGTATATGTGCAATTACGTGTACATACACCCATGTGTAATTATATATTAATTTAATTTGTATAACTTTCCTTAGATGTTTAAATACCCCTGAAAAGTTTAAAAGTTAAATTTATTTTTCACTATTCATGTAGCTTGTTAAGGTCTTGCTTTTCTCTCTAAACTAGCCCACTTCTAGGCACTTTCACTATTTTATGTGTATCGCAAACACTGCAGCAGATAGGTTAAGTTTTTCTGTTAGAATTAAAATTTTAAAAAGCATGGAAATATTTTTATTTCCTTCAGTATGAGCATATTTTCACAGAATTAAATTTTGGACCAAATTTAACCTGACAGTCCCCTTTTAAGGAATGACAGTTTTGAAATGGTTTAATCACATATCTTAGGTAAAACTAATCTTGAAGTACAGTGGTTGGCATCTCCTGTATGACCTTGCGTGAGTTAAGAAGCAGATTTTTTTCCAGGATGTGACAATGTGTATTTTTTTTTATTTTAGGTTAGAATCAAACACACATGATCAGTTATGAGATCTGAATCTTTTGGAACTGAACTGTTTAGTGCTAATCCAGATAGATAAATGCAGCAAAAGACAATTCTGATTATTTGAAAACAAAACTGATCTATTGTTAGAATGTCTTTCTAGCACCTCAGCTAATACCTTACTACTGCACTAGATAACTTTTGTACATAGTTTAAATTGCTGAAGAGATTAAATATAACCATTTCCTGGTTTTGCCAGTAGCTCAGTCTCTGCCTTGAGTCCGGCTTGAGACTGTAAGCCACCCACTGTAAGCCTGCAGAGAGAACTCTTTCTAGGAATGGATCTCTCTTAACTATAAGTCAGTGAGCTGATATAAAGGTTTCAGGTTGTGCTTTACTAACTTCATCTCCTTTTCTATGAGTCCATGGTCAGATTTCAGTTGTACATCTTACAGTGGTAATATTGGGGAACATGGCAACAGGGCTTAAATTTGGTCCTTTCATTTTTTTCTAGACATGAACAGAACATTTCCAGATAATGTACAATTCCGCAAAACTGCTGATCCCTGTTTACAGCAGACACTCTACAATGTATTAGTAGCATATGGGCACCATAATAAAACAGTGGGATACTGCCAGGTATGTAACTTTTGATAGATATTTAAAAAGACATTTGCAATATTGTTGTTGCTAATTTGAAACTACATTTTTGGGTGATGGGCAAGGTTGTGGGGAAGGCTAAACATAATCCTAGAAACAGTTGTTGTTATTACCCTTCCAGTCTCACGCTTGAGTCATTTTAAATTAATCATTTTAAGCAAGATCAACTAGCAATGTGTGCTCACCCAATTTCCTTCCTTTTCAAGTGAACATAAACTAAAACGGGTAGGGAACCTACAGCTCTTGGACTGGATCCAGCTCTGGCCTATTTGGAACCGATCTGTGGTGAGGCTTGGGTCTTCTCTCCCCCCCCCCCCCCCCCCCCTTGCACTCCAGCCCGGCTGCATGTCTTTGAACTTCAGCACCCCTCCACCAGGCTGTAATGCGAGCAGCTCTCCAGTGCTCCAAACTGAGGGTGAGTGGGTGAGTCTGTCTCTCCTCCCGCCCCCTTTTTGTTTTGCTTCTCACTTGTGTGTGGCCCCCTGACTTGTTTTGCTACTTGGTGTACTAGAGAGACATGGAAAATTTCTTATTTATTAAAAATGGCCCCTTTACAAGAGCTCTTACAAATCAGGTCTTGATTTCCATTATCTTTCTGGAGAAGTTTTTTTGAGTAGTGGATTACTAGTGGCCATATGACATTCTTGACCAATGGTCTCCAACTTTTATAAGCATGAAATCACTTTCTGAATTTAAGTGCAATCCAGGATTTACCTCAAACCCAAACACCCTTGTCCTGTATTCTACCTGCCCCTTCCCCGAAGCCCTGCCCTGCTCATTCCATCCTCCCTCCCCAATCCTCACTCAACTTTTATCAGTCTGGGGTCAGAGGGTTGGGGTGGGGTAGAGGAATACAGACACTGATCTTGGGCTAGAGGATTTGGAGTATGGGAGGGGTTCTGAGCTGAGCCAGGGGCAGGGAGTTGAGGTGCAAGAGGGGGTTCAGAGTGCAGGCTTTGAGAGGGAGTTTGGGTGCACAGGGACTCAGGATTGGGGCCAGGGTTTGGAATACAGGCTCCAACTGGGCACTGCTTACCACAGGTGACTTCTGGGTGTGATGCTGGGGGCTCAGGCAGGCTCACCCCTACCCTGGCCCTGCACCACTCCCAAAAGCACCCAGAAAACTCTCTCCATCCTTGCCCCTCTGCTCTGTGGTGATGGGGTACAGGGTGGAAGGAGGGACACCCTGACATCACATCCCCTCCCATCTCTTCTTGCCGTGCCCTGCACAGCAACCAGGAGACTCCCGTGAGTGGGGGGCACCTCCAAGGCAGAGGGCAGGAGCAGCACGGCAGTGCTGAAAGGGGCAGATGAAGTGCTGGGACTTGATAGCCTCCTCACTGAAGCTGTTAGGATCACTTGTCAGAGGCTCCAAGATCTTCCAGTAAATCCTGATCTACTGGTTGGTGACCATTATTCTAGACATATTGTCTAAATCTAGTTTTAGTAGATTTGGTTGTAACATCTCTTTAACTCAAACTCCTGACAGACACATAAGAAGAAAATTTGTCTGCGTAAAATTCAGCCTCATAACTCCAACAGGACCTCGGATGTTGCCGAACCAGAGAATCCACATGGAGGGCTAGTGGTGAGGCAGCTCAGTGGCAGGGCGAGGCAGAAATGGTGTTTCCTGTTCAAACGAAATCCCTCATATGGGACCAGTCAGATCTTGAGGGTGCTGGATCAGGGAGGTCCAACCTATATTAGCTATAGATCCTCCAGAAAAATGTTTTGATAATGCTACTGTAGTTTACAGTCACCACTGAGAAGTGCCCAACCAGGGAGTTAAGTTTCAAATTGCCATTCTGCACTGTAGTCCATGGATGGCCAGCCTGCTCTTGGAAGAAAAATTTGCAGCTCCTGCACCCGCACCTGCAATTCAGAAAGGGGCAGCATGTTTCTGTTTGCATGGGACACTGGTGCAGATGTCAAAATGGCAGCCATTTATTTTTTTTTTTTTTTTTTTTTTTCTCTCTCAATCAAATGGCGGCTGGGGCTTTTTTTTTTTTTCTTTCCCCTCCCCGCAACAACTTTTTTCCCTTAGCTCTTTGCGCTGCATCCACCACTATTTTGGCTCTTCGCCTGTAATGGGTTGTCCACCCCTGCTGTAGTCCTATGAAGTTCTTATCAATGTGTGCACAGCTAGTGAAATTCTTTGCTTTTTGAATATATTTTTTAAAGTAGGCTTTGTGTCTGCTATGTTAAGTGCCAAATAGTAAGTATCTTATCACCATGAATGTAGTTATCAAACTATCTGTCAACCTGGGAACTGTCTTCCAAGCAGTAGGCCAAGCAACACAGATGCAACATATACCCAGGCAACTTCAGCATTTTGTAAAAATTCAACAACTAATATTAAGGCTTCAAGATTGAAAATGAATGTCTAGAGAACAGAGTGAATATTTTAAAATTCAAATTGCAGAGCTGTTTTGGCATTGTGTATCAAAAGACAAGTGAGCAAAGCCATTTGAATTCAAGAAATTGGATTTCAGTCCAGACAAGAATTTTTGGTTTCCAAAATCCTTTGAGTGTTTCAGTTTTGGCTCTGCTCTCTTCTTTCTTGAGCTGTAGCTGGCATTGTTTGCTTGTGTACAGTGAGACAATTTTATCTCCTGTCGCCATAGACAACACTGGTGGTGGAGAGTTAAAGGGGAAGGAGGCCATGGAGAATACAAAAGGATGAAATTTGAGAGGATTTCTAAGATTCACAATAAATAAGTATAAATTTGACATGAGCCTCCATAGCCTGTAAATATTGAATGACAATTTTACATTGGCTTCTTAAAAATGTTTTGAGGAATTTAAACACCAGAGGCTATTCTTATGTGCTCTTGTGCTGCAGAGTTTTAGATGCTATCTTCCTTATATCAGAAGAAAGACACTTTTAAAAAAACCTCTCAGTCTAAATGCCAAAAGTTTATAAAATGTATAAGGTAAATCCTCCTAATAATGTTGCTAACATTAATTGTGTGATTGATCTAATATTATGGATTATTTAAAGATGGTCTCTAAGGAAATTACTTAAGCATATGCTTAATTTTAAACACATTCTATTCCTGAACCAAGGTCTGTATATTTTATATATTGTTCTTCCTCTGAAATCCATCATCAAAAGCTCAATACACTGCACTATCAGGAAGGGACCAATTAATACTTAACGTATGTGGTTTGGGCCTGGCCCCGGAGGCCGTGCTGCCACTACAGGCAGTCCCCGGGTTACGTACAAGATAGGGACTATAGGTTTGTTCTTAAGTTGAATTTGTATGTAAGTCGGAACGGGCTCCAGATTCAGCCTCTGCTGAAACTGATCAGCGGCTGATTCCAGGAAGCCGCGGGCAGAGCACCTCTGCCTAGGGCTTCCTGTAGTCAGCCGCTGATCAGTTTCAACAGCAGCTGAATCTGGACTCCTGGGACAGAACAGCTGGGGCACTGCCGGGTAGGTTCTGTCCAACCCGGCAGCACCCCAGCTGCTCTACCCCAGGCGTCCCGCAACAAAAGCCTGGTCTGCTGGGGGGGGGGGGGAAAAAATGCGCCCCCCCCCCCCCCAGCACACCAGGGAGACCTGAGCAAAGCCGCGGAGGCGCAGAGGTCCCGCCGCCTCTGCGGCTTTGCTCCTGTCTCCCTGCTGTGCTCCCTGCTGTCTTCCCCCAGCACACCAGGGAGACCCGGAGCAGCTTTTCTCGCCCCGGAGGACGCGGTGGCGGGACCGCTGTGCTCTGGGCGGTCCCGCCACCCGCGAGCTCCGGGGCAAGAAAAGCCCCATTCGTAAGTGCGGATCCGACATAAGTCGGATCCGCGTAAGTCGGGGACTGCCTGTATTGACGTAGTCCGGGGCCACCCCAGAGGTCCTGCTGCCACTGTGGTCTGGGGCTAGCCTCGGAGGCCTCGAGGCTGCGGCCCATGTGGTCTGGGGCTGGCCCTGAAGGCCGGAGGCACCGCTGCCACAGCTACGGACCACCTGGCTGTGGCAGTGGCACCTCCCGGACTGCGTGGCCATGGCAGCGGCGCCTCTGCTCCTGGCCAAGGCGCTGCTGAGGAGCCTCGGCCCCAGAACTGCCTCCTGCCATCAGAGCCTAACCTGCTGCAGGGAGGAGGGAGTACTCTTAAGTGGCTGCGTGGGGCAGGAGGGGCAGGGCTGAGCTCCTTCCTGCGTGCTGCTGAAAATCGGCTTGCATGCCATAGGTGGCACACGTGCCGTGCCGTAGGTTGCTGACCCCCTGCACTGGGGGCGGTGCCTGGAATGGCCTTGCGGGCTGGATTAAAGCCCAAGGCGGGCCGGATCCGGCCCATTGAGAGGCTTTTGCCCACCCCTGGGATAGGACATACTCCACTTGGAACTGCTAGGCAGTATTACTGAGCACTGTTAGCTACATTTCAATGTAGAGGTAGCTACATTTCAATGTTGGTCAAAGTATCACCTGTTCCATTGTTTGGGAAGGGCTTTGGGATTTAAAAAAAAAAAAGAAAAGTAGTCCATACATTATTTTTTAGTGCTTTGTTTTTTCTTTTCTTCTCCAGTTTCCCTCAGCTTTTATTGGCCAGGTGTAGGAGCTTAATTAGTTGGTAGACTTTGTTAGTAAATTTCCTGTATCCTGCCCATTTTGTGAATTATTCTATTTCTTGTATCTTTCTAGGAACATGCAGGTACAATGTTTTCCCTTTTATTTCAGTCAATCAGTACTTTGAAGTTCATGTTTGGTATTGTGAAGTTAAACTTTTGAAGTAAGCAAAGACATTATAAAAAAAACTTTATTTTTATTTCAGGGCATGAATTTCCTAGCTGGATACCTGATTCTTATTACAAAGAATGAAGAGGAATCATTTTGGTTATTAGATGCTCTGATTGGACGAATATTGCCTGGTATGCTAGTAGTTCTTATTTTTTTGTACATTAGAGCTTGAATTTTATTTATAGAAGCCCTCTGTGGCAATATCAGCCTTACTGTTTAACTTCAATGGTCTGCTTAGTTTGCAGGAGTCTAATTCTGCCTTGATTTCAATAGAGGATTACAGGATGATAAATTGAGACAGTTTGAAACTAAAACGCTGGTCTTTAGACAACAAAGCAGTAAGAAACTTAAAACTGATCTGCTAGTGTAGAATTCTTTTAATTTGTAACTCATATCTTGCTTTTCACCCACCGCCACCATTAATATGGTTTGTAGTTCCCGTGACTCAATGCTAGGCAAAAGGACAGGGCTTATGAGCATGCCTGGGACTTTAGTAATTTTCTTTGGCCTGTGGGAAAAATATGATTGAAAGATGAAGCAATTAGTCTCAACTAAAGGTAGAGTATGGGTCTCGTAGTACAAATATCTTGTGATGGTCATTTACCTAGAGCAGTGTTTCTCAGCCAGTGATATGAGTCCCCTCAGGTGTACTTGAGAGAAGTTTGGGGGGGTATGTCAATGCAACTGAAATTTGGAGAAAACTGAATTTTTGTTACTGCGCTTTATTATTTTTGAAATTTTTGGGTGTAAAAAGTACATCGCCCGCCCGACTACGATTAAGTTGTTTAAACAAATATGTTGCAATGGTAGAAAATTTTTTGTGTGTGTCTGAAAACTGTAGGTACTGGGGGTACTTATAAATTTTTTTTAAAGGAGTACTTTATAAAAAAAAGGGTGAGAAACACTTACCTAGAGTAGCAGTTTATGATGCTGCTGAAAAGAGGCAGCTTAATGTTTAGGACCTGTTAAGTCAGTGTTTATAAGCTTTTTCACACCATGACCACATTGCAGCAACAGAAAATTGGGATCCCTCACCCATCAGGCTATAAAGAAAAGGCTGGTGGCTGTGACCTTCCTGGAGGTCCCCACAGTTTAGAAACCATGAGATTAAATTATCCAGATATGACAAAATGGACATTCCTCCCCCCCCAAAAATTTTAGTAGATTACATGAGCACTCAAGCTAAGGATTTAACGCTAAAGCCTATGAAAGAAGAATGGCTGCCCCATGAATCCTCATAAGCACAGTGCTACTTGAGTCCTACACTTTTATTCAGGTGTACATTGTGCCTAAAACTTAGTACAGTGGTTTATCAATGGTAAGTTATGACATTCCCTTATCTGGCCTATTTTTGCTGCTGAAGAGCTTTTGTGAGCTGCTATCCTGAAAGGCTAAAGGCTGAACTACTTACTAGAATCTCAAATTGTTCCCTGGCAGTAACATACAGGACTGTCCTTGAGTTTTTGCCAGAGCATTGGATTTCTAGAGCTAGTCTTATTTAATTTAAGAAATAAAATTATTAACTTTGCTCTAAAGGGAAAGTTTTTTGAGAAGGAAAGAAAGAGGAACTGGTGTAACTGTTTGATGGCATTGAGTAACAGCAAAAAATAATGCTCTAAGCCAGTGGTCCCCAACATTTTGGGGCTGCCGGGCGCCTGGGGGCGGGGCCGCTCACGCGCCGCGCGTCCAGGGGTGGGACTGCTCACAGGCCACGGGCCCACGGGCGGGGCCAAGCATGTGCTGGCCCAGGTGCCGTGTGCCCGGGGCCAGCACCGGCATGTGCTGCGATCCCGGGCAGGGGCTGCCCAGGCGCTGTGTGCCCGGGGCCGGCACCAGCATGTGCGCCCAGGGGCGGGGCCAGCTCAGATTGCTCCGCGGGCGCACATAAATGGCCCGGTGGGCGCCATGGCACCAGCGGGCACCACGTTGGGGACCACTGCTCTAAGCTAAGTCATGTAACATACTAAACCAATTTTTACTTGCATGTAGTCATCAGAATTGTTCAGTCCATAAAATGCCTATTTTAAGACACTGCAGATATAAACTTCTTCTGAAACAAAGGTGGAAAACATAGAAGCCAGGCCAAATCAACTTAAGAAATCTGAGACTAAAATAATTATTAGGTTTGTTACCTTTTTTTGTAATTATAGAACAGTTACTAGAGTACAGTGAAATTGACTGTTATTTTAATATAGTTTATACTGAATATAGCAAGCCCACCCTTGGAATATGTAGAAGATTGAAGTTATTATATAGGATCTGATCCATTGCGAGTCTTTTCACTGATCTCAGTAGACATTGGATCTGGCATTTAACGAAAGGCAGTGTGATTGTATTGTGAAGTTTAGTGCTTCCATGATTTTATTTTTAATCATTTGCCATTTCATTTATTTTTGTCTGGGATAAAGAAGTGGATTCATAGGTCTCTGAGATTCAGGACTCTATTCATCAGCCCTTTTAGGGAATTTGTTTTGATAGGACACCGTGAAGCCTGAAGCTTTTCAACACCTTGCTCCTAAACTTGACAAATACATTAATGAGAAAAGGCACTCTTGGTTCATTTTCCTATTTGTTTTTCTGGCCTTTCCCCTATTGTTGTAGTGGTATTGATTAGTACAGACTCATAGGGAGAGTGGCAATGGGACAGGACACATTAAAAAAGACACTGTGCTCTATTTATGCTCTATTTAAATACTGTGTCTGGGGACTAGCTACAGTCTTTACCTTTTAAAAATATCATTTATTGGGTAATGCAAAACTTTCTTAAATTTTTTTGTCAGTGATTAACAGCTTTGTTGCATATTTCCAAGACAGTTCTTTGATATTACCACTGGTGGCGGTCCCATATGGGGGGAGGGAGCATTTACCAGACGTTGAATTGCTCTGTTTCTGAAGCTCAGAGCATAAAAAGTTAAATAATTGGAGTAATTGCACAGACATGTAATGAGTGTTTTAGGTCTTGTACATGCTGGAGAAATTTACCTTCATAAGTGATTGCTCTGCCTCAATTGGGTGTTTAAAGCAATGCATATGTCAAGCAAAAGTGCTTCAGCTGACTGTGAGGTAAGCAAATACCATGGCATTTACTGCAGAACTTAGTAGGGGTATGCAATAACTGTTTCACACTAACTGTGCAGATCAAATTGATTGAGTACCAGTGTGGATGCATCTTACTGACACAGATGATGGGCTGTTAATTCTGACAGCTGTAACATCTGGCAAATCTCCTTTAGATTTTTAGCTAAGAATTCACTCTTTGTTCTTCCCTCTGCTGTACCACCTCCATGCCATATAATCTACCTGTGTTCCCCTCCACATCACACTAGAAATGCTTCCAGATTGTGCCCTCCCCTGCAGTCCTTCTACTAGCATCCCCCGATATCCTAAGCAGTTGAGTTAACTGTGGATAAATAAGTAAGCCAACTATTTAGTCTCAGAGGTCACGGAGTCCGTGACTTTACTTGACCTCTGTGACTTCTTCAGCTTCAATTGGCAGGGGCTGAAGGCAGAGCTGTGCACCTCTGCCCTGCAACTGGGGCTAGAACCAGGACCATGCTGCCCCTACCCTGCGGGATCTGTCAGGGGCTGCATCCAGAGCTGTGTACCCCTTCGCAGCTTCCCAGGGCTGTGTGCTCTTCCCTCCCCCTCCCCCCCAGCTCTGGAGTTGGGGCTTTACACTCTGTGTCACTGCACCCTGAGCTCTGGCCATTGGAATCAAGTCTGTAATCCCTACCATGGTGGGGGCTCAGACTGTCAATCCTTTCCACTATGGAACTCCATTCCGCCCTATCCAGTCCCCCCGCCCCTGTTATTTTTAGTAAATTCGCAGACAGATCACAGGCTCCTATTAAGTTTTTTTTTATTGCCCATGACCTGTCTGTGCGTGATACTAAAAATAACCATGACAAAATCTTCACCTTAATCATAAGGAAAAATTCCTGTTCTGCCATTTGCAAAAACTCCCTGAATGTCCTCCTTCACCTGACTAATGCTCCCAGCTCTGGCTCTGACTGTCATAAGCAGTTGACCCAACTGTGAATTGCTGGTCATGAGTACTGTTTTGACGATCACTGGGTGAAATTTGTAGGTCTTGATCTGTGGTTGATTTGGCTGGCAGATGGCTTCACACACCCCTTTCCAGTTGCGTTTCTGTGTTCCGCTGCTACTTTGTTAAATCTGCTCGGTTGAAGGGTGCATGGCAGAGGGAACAAAAGGACACTGGGCGTGTGGTGTGGTGGGGGAAATGAAGCACAATTGAGGTAATGGATTTCAGGAAGGCAGATTTTGATAAGCTCAGAGAACTTGTAGGTAAGGTCCCATGGGAAGCAAGACTGAAGGGAAAAACAACTGAGGAGAGTTGGAAGTATTTCAAAGGGAAGTTGCTAAGGGCCCAAAAGCAAACAATTCCGCTGTGTAGGAAAGATAGAAAATATGGCAAAAGACCAGCTTGGCTTAACAAGGAGATCTTGCACAATCTCAAAATAAAAAAGGAGTCATATAAAAAATGGAAACTAGGACAAATAACAAAGGATGAATATAGGCAAGCAACACGGGAATGCAGGGGCAAGATTAGAAAGGCAAAGCCACAAAATGAGATCAAACTAGCTACAGGCATAAAGGGAAACAAGAAGACCTTTTATAAATACATTAAAAGCAAGAGGAAGACCAAGGACAGGGTAGGCCCACTGCTTAGTGAGGAGGGAGAAGCAGTAACAGGAAACTTGGAAATGGCGGAGATGCTCAATGACTTCTTTGTTTCGGTCTTCACCGAGAAGTCTGGAGGTGTGCCTAACGTAGTGAATACAAGCAGAGAGAGGGTAAGTTTAGAAGATAGGATACACAAAGAACAAGTTAAAAATCACTTAGGAAAGTTAGATGTCAGCAAGTCACCAGGTCCTGATGAAATGCATCCCAGGATACTCAAGGAGCTGATAGAGGAGGTATCTGAGCCTTTAGCTATGATCTTTGAAAAATCATGGCAGACAGGGGAGATTCCAGAAGACTGGAAAAGGGCAAATATTGTGCCCATCTATAAAAAGGGGAATAAGAACAACCCAGGAAACTACAGACCGGTCAGTTTAACGTCTGTCCCAGGGAAGATAATGGAGCAGGTAATTAAGGAAATCATATG